CAATCACCCATGGATGCTTTTGGACGTTGAATTCTGAAACAACCGAACGCCATTGAATATCAAATTCCTTGGTTGTCCACCAGGAAGCCATGCATTTTGAGAATGCTGCTGTAAACTTGGGTCACCAATGTTAGCTTGTGCATTGCGAGAAAGATGCCAAGAACATAATTTGTGCTTAGCATAAGGGATAACAGATTTGATAGCCCTTTGCATTGCCCTATCCCCATCGTTACAACGGAAATAGGGATTTATTCATCATGGCTTCTAAAAAATTCTATAGCACCCACTCGAAAGATTGAGACGTCTCGTCAGCGATTATGGCAGTGGCAAAACACAATTGTGTTATGGTGATGATTGACACCAACAATAGGCATAATTGGTCGACCATACAAATTATCTTTGTACGTTGTGTCGAACGCATTACATCACCGAAGCATGTGTAATCCGATCTCGATGTAGAATCCGACCAAATAAGATTATACAATGCCCCCGATTCGTCTACCGAGTATGTCATAAAAAACTCGGGATCATCATGTTTCTTATAATCAAAGTAGGCAATAAGCGCATTCACATCCCCATCGACGATTTCCTTTGCTTTACCTCTTTGAAGTGCATTGTAGGTCTTATGTGTAAATCCAACATTATGATAGCCCCCTGCATGCTGCGTTAATAGTTCATTACTTGTGACGTGCCAACACCGACCTCTTTCAATGTTGCCTCATCGATATCAGCCTTACTTACAGCTCTATTAGAACTCATAAATGGTGTCATAGCAGGTGTGCACAATGCATGATTATGTTTCTGATCAGACTTACTTATAACCCACTGATCGTTTGTATTTGTTGTTGTAACTACGACTCTAGCCTTACATCATGTTCTTGTGACTGGCGTATGAGCACGTTGACGATCAACAGTATTGACTTTTGATACTCGAAACCCTTCTTTGGAACAAAAAAATTCTTGTGTCTTCACATTCCCTTCCACGTCAAGTCGTGTTGTTCCCTTACGTGCACTAAACCCATGTTCCCGTGCGAATCCCTTGTAAAAGTACCAGCTTGATCACGTGACAGAAGAGCTGACCAACCAATCTGTCAGATCATCACATATGTACTTCATGGCATTCCTCGGTTGGCTTAACATTGTCTACATCAGTATTATCTATGGCAAAAATTTTGTTGTGCAAGTTCAGTGCTCCAGGAGTTGATGGAGATGTAAGCAAAGGTTCATTTTGAACATGTTTCAGTCGTGATGCTTTCAATAGGATGTGGCATTGGTAGTGGTAGTTAAAGGGTGGGTACAACATTAAATTCGCAGTACATATTTAGGTATGAACAATAACTACAAGTATATATTATCATTAAATTTAGGTATGTACAATAACTACATATTTAGGTATGTACAATAACTACATATTTAGGTATATACATCTTTTGAGCGAGTTTTAAGATATTAATTTAGTAATTATAGGCGTCTAATGATTTATTTTTACGTTACGGTATATTATTATTAAATTAAAAACAATAAACATATATATTACATATTTATTATTATCTTTGGTTAATGTTGTTAAATTTAAATTCTAATATTATTTTATAAAATATCAAAACAATCAAATAATTTTTTGTGTAAATGAAATTATTAAATTATATTGTAGGTGGAAAACATGAACACTATTAAAAAAATTGAAACATAAATTACATAACTTTAAAGAAGTATCGATCCTTTTATAAAAAGTATGGACACTTTCAATATAATAGGTAAAAATATGATGTAATAGGTAGCGCTTATATAATGTAATAGGTATCGTTTATATAATGTAATAGGTAGTGGTTATATTGTAAAGTATCTATCCTTTTTATAAAAGTGTCTATACTTTTTTCACTATGGAAAACATTAATTTAAGGTTATCTTTTGAGTAAGTTTTAAGATATTAATTTAGTAATTATAGGCGTCTAATGATTTCTTTTTTACGTTACGATATATTATTATTAAATTAAAAATTCTAAATATATTTTATAAAATATCAAAACAATCAAATAATTTTTTGTGCAAATGAAATTATTAAATTAATATTGTAGGTGGAAAACATGAAACACTATTAAAAAAATTGAAACATAAATTACATAACTTTAAAAGAAGTATCGATCCTTTTTATAAAAAGTATGGGCACTTTCAATATAATAGGTAAAAATATGATGTAATAGGTAGCGCTTATATAATGTAATAGGTATCGTTTATATAATGTAATAGGTAGTGGTTATATTGTAAAGTATCTATCCTTTTTATAAAAGTGTCTATACTTTTTTCACTGTGGAAAACATTAATTTAAGGTTATCTTTTGAGTGAGTTTTAAGATATTAATTTAGTAATTATAGGCGTCTAATGATTTATTTTTTATGTTACTATATATATTATTATTAAATTAAAAATTCTAAATATTATTTTATAAAATATCAAAACAATCAAATAATTTTTTGTGCAAATGAAATTATTAAATTAATATTGTAGGTGAAAAACATGAAACACTATTAAAAAAAATTGAAACATAAATTACATAACTTTAAAAGAAGTATCGATCCTTTTTATAAAAAGTATTGACACTTTCAATATAATAGGTAAAAATATGATGTAATAGGTAGCGCTTATATAATGTAATAGGTAGCGTTTATATAATGTAATAGGTAGTGCTTATATTGTAAAGTATCTATCATTTTTATAAAAGTGTCCATACTTTTTTCACTGTAGAAAACATTAATTTAAGGTTATCTTTTGAGTGAGTTTTAAGATATTAATTTAGTAATTATAGGCGTCTAATGATTTATTTTTTACGTTACGATATATATTATTATTAAATTAAAAACAATAAACATATATATTACATATTTATTATTATCTTTGGTTAATATTGTTAAATTTAAATTCTAAATAATATTTTATAAAATATCAAAACAATCAAATAATTTTTTGTGCAAATGAAATTATTAAATTAATATTGTAGGTGGAAAACATGAAACAATATTAAAAAAAAATTGAAACATAAATTACATAACTTTAAAAAAAGTATCGATCATTTTTATAAAAAGTATGGACACTTTCAACATATTATAATGTAATAGGTAAATTTGTAATGCTATCGGTACAAATATACCGGTTTACTTATAAAATAGGCAAATATAAGCTTTACCTATTACATTATATAAGCGCTACCTAGTATGTTATTGTACTTTATAATATTTCCGGTTAAATAATATAACATAACCGGTCTAAATTTTAACCGATCACTTGTTTAACCGGTCACGCCGTATATTAGCCTTTTTTAGGCGCCGCATCGCAGAACTACCCGTTGAATTAGCCATGCTACGTATTGTCATTCTTCCTACATCATTAACACCATTTTTCTTGCTAATGAAGCAAAAAATAAAAAAATTAAAGTCAAATAAATTAAGAGCATATATAATGTATGAGTAATATTTACATAAGAAAGAAAAACAAATCTATGTCAGTATTTATATATGGAGTAGACCTATTCGAATGCAAATATTCTAATGCAAATTACTCATCTAAATTTAAAGTTTCATTAAAGTTTAGGAGAATTCGAATAAAATTATTAAGTTCAAAAAATTAGACGTTGGTAAGAAGACAGACTCATTTAAAATATAACATGAATCAAGCGACATTAGTAATTAAAAGATTTATTGTTATCTCATAAAGTATCGAATTCGAACATATATATATAAATGTATGAGCGTTCATTGTCAAATAATTTTCATGCGACTCCAAATTGTCTCCTAACCGAATGAATTGAGCCTGTTATTACAAATTCTCTTTGCATAAATCTTCTGTAAACGGTCATTATTTGGACTTTTTCTCTTATCTTTGATATCAATTCTTAATTATTTTGTTTAGCTATAACTAAGTTTAATTACATATCACATTTAGATTTATGCTCTTTTCCTGAGGAGTTAGTCATGACCGTCATCAAATCCTTTCTTTAGATGTTTGTTATAATCGTTTTCACATACTATGATGAAGTGCGAGGAGTTCGTAGCTAACAAATTTGAAATCTCATATAATTTATATTTTTTTTGTATCTTTTAGGTTTAATAGTATTTGATATCCTCAAAATTTTCTAAAAAATCATTGTGATTCTTGAATTTCTTTTGCAGTTAATTAATGCCATCAGTCATTGTGGACCGTCGTGTCAACATCTTATATTATCACATTAGCTTTTTGAACTATCACGTCAGTACCGCCATAAATTATTGTTTGATTTTGTTGGTTAAAAGGTCTTTTTTTTTAGTTTAAGAGTCATATTTAGGGATCAAATTAATTTTTTGAAAAAAGTTTAAGGGCTTGATATATCATTAAGCCTATAATTTATTCATGATATGGTTTGTTCCCTAAAGAAATTATAAGTTCATCTTCAACATAAAATAAGTGCATCCATACCCAGTGGTGGATGCATATGTATTTCAAGGAGGACACATATTTCTTTATATTATTTATTTTACTGATGATGTTCGTCTAAAATTATATATATCTCATTCAAAAAATTTATGTTATTATTATTATATATATGTGCTCATTCTCAAAAAAAAAATATACTTCTGGATTTGACACAGTTGGTACCTATTCATGCATGATATGTGATGCATCCATTGTATGTCAAATCAACTCGACGATAACATTGATTCTTCCATCGTAAAAGAGGTTGTACAAACAACCGGCAAAAGATTTTTGAAACAACTGAATGGATGAAGGGTACGTAAAACATGGATTACGTAATACTACAACTCTACGTAGAAAATAGTTACTCTTTTGTCTCTCTCTCTCTCTCTCTGTGAAAGTAAGCCGATGAAATGTCGTTGTAGGGTTAGATGGAAAAAAATTGGGTCCCCATCCAGTTTCAATGTCGGCACATCATCGTATTGTACTTCTCTCTTACTTTTATATTGGGGAGCTGAGAGACAGACAGTCTCAGCCTCCACTTCCTGCAAACCCCAAGGAAAATTATAGCTTCTTTGATCATAAAACGGATCATCATCAGCTTGTAAACAACATCATTTTGTTTTCTCTATAGAGTGTGTAAAGCAACAAAATCAAAGGCAAAAGATAGAGATATATCGTCCAAATCAAAAATGGGTCACCATTCTTGCTGCAATCAACAGAAGGTTAAAAGAGGGCTTTGGTCCCCAGAGGAAGATGAAAAGCTTATTCGGTACATCACCACTCATGGATATGGGTGTTGGAGTGAAGTCCCTGAGAAAGCTGGTATAATTTTGCTCCTTTCTTTTTCCTGGAGTTTCCATGTTCCTGGTATCATTTGATGAAGACATATCTTTTGCTTTTGCTTTTTTTTTTTTCAGGTCTTCAAAGATGCGGCAAAAGTTGTCGGTTGAGATGGATTAATTATTTGAGACCTGACATCAGACGAGGCAGATTTACTCCCGAGGAAGAGAAGTTGATCATTAGCCTTCATGGGGTTGTAGGGAACAGGTTTGAAGTCACATATTTTACATACACACAGTGTAACAATTCAAGGTTCTTTCTAACGGGGTTGCCAGGGATTTAAATTTCTGTTGCAGTCATTTGCGTTTATCGCGATTATGGTAATAATGAGTGTTATTGTGGTCATCTCGAGTGTCGCAGTTGTTTAATAACAGTTCCAGACGGCACCTATATAACCGCTGCTATTTAAATCTCCGGTTGCATTCATGTTAGTTTGTGTCTATGAAATCCAGTGTCTGATATGTGTGAGGGAATTGCTGCAGATGGGCTCATATTGCAAGCCACTTGCCTGGAAGAACAGACAATGAGATAAAGAACTACTGGAACTCATGGATCAAGAAGAAGATACGCAAGCCTTCAGCACCTCCAACCAGCACTGCTCCTACTAGTACTAATCATTCCCAGATTAATTATCCTTCAAACCAATTAGAGTTATTAAATCCGGACTTGATGAGCACGGCAATCCCTAGTCATCCAGAAACCCTATTTTCTTCTCCATCCCCATTATTCATATTCGACACAAGAACTACACTTGATGGGATTCAAGTTCATGAACATGGGGATAATGTAAGAGGAGAGGTTTTTAATGAAGCGGCTAATTTAAACACTGAGAGTAGCTGGAACCTGAATCAGCATCAAGTACAAGCATTCCCCCCTTCAACTTCTTTCATAGTGAGTATGGATTCGAACAACTATTTGCCACCATTGGTGGAGAACATGGAAGATGAAGGAGAAATGACACTTGAATACTTGCAGAGGCAGCAGCAGGAGTTGAATGAATGGGTGGAATCCCAGCAATGTTCAAACTTTCTCTTCTGGGATAACATTAAAATCCATGGGGAAGAAGCATTGCCACCAGCTTCATCAAACATGCCAACTACAACACTATCTTCATTCCCCACTTCATTATAAATTATTAAAAGGCTTTTCGAAAGAAGAAAAAAAAGTTTGTTTTTTCTTTTTCTTTCTTTTCGGCTTTCTTTTCTTTGTAACTTTATCTGGTGATGAGGTTGTGAAATGTGAGGGACTGCAACATACATAACTATGCATGATTCCCCCCCCCCCCGGCTGTTCTTCTTGGTGTTTGAAAACAGAAAACGGAAGAATAAAAAGCAATCTAATTGTAACAGCCAAAAATAATGTTTGATGCTAATGAGAGAACTCTAATTACTTGTTAATTTGGTGCAATTATACCAAGTTTGTCATTCGTTTGAATGTTGAAACAGTGTGCATGGAGGGGGAACTACATTTATTTTTAAATTAAGATTGTTTCTCTTAAAGTTTGACTCGACTTTGATTTCACTCGATTAATAAAAATATAAATTAAGAAAAAGTTAAGGGAAATATGAAACTAGTTTATTGAAATTAAGAAATATATTCATTTTCAATGTTGATTAAAAGTGAAAAATTAGTTTTAATTGATTATATCTCTATGAAATAAGGGCTTAATATAAAAAAAATCTTAAATAATACTTCTTTTCTCATTTTGGTGATTAAATTTTTCTCGATTAATTTAGGTGTCTAACGTTATCTATTTTATCATTTAGATGCCTTAGTAGTTATCGACATCGCTTTTCGTCCGGGCAGGGAAATATAAGTACCGACTTAGGGGTTTTTTCTTTGAAAAGGTTTTGAAATATGAAGAGTCGCTACCAATCATTTAAGGTGCGATTGGGACACCATAAAAATTGAGTGATTTTAATAAAACATTTTTTATCAAAATACCAAGTTTTAAGGTCTGCAAAAATCCAGAAATCAGGTTCGATAGTTAGTTACGTTTGGGGAAGAATTAGCATCCCCACAAGCGTCCAAAATTTGGTACCTGGTTGATTACTCTATATTTAGAATTGGAAATTTTGAGTTTGAACTTTATTTAATTTAAAAATCATTACGGATGCAAAGTTAAAACGGGTATTCGTTTATTAAGGCCGATAGCATTCGCCCCTAGCATGAATGCAAGAGATCAACTATTGTGCCAATAACCGAATATTGCCTTGATATTTTAGAAATCATGATGCGGTTTTAAAAAGAATGTCGACCTATTTCGGGAATCACCAGTAGTCACCCTTTGAATATACTTGCGTGAGATATACCATTAATTCCCTAATAAGTGAACATTGCCTTAGGTTTAAAAATAAATGCAATCAAACAAATTTCTATTCATCCTAATTAACTAAGGGTAAATTAAGGCTCTCTCTATCCTAAATTGTCAATTTATGATAATTAAAGAACCTAAAGGCACAAACCTAGAAATGTAGATTCTAATATTAACACTATTTGATTTTTAATCAATTATTGAATCGAATAACCGAGATGGTCCCTTGAGCATTTAGGCTAGGGCCAACCCGAATTATTCCCTAAATTAAGAGGACTATATTGAAATCTAACTAAAAGTGGAGGCTCTGTTTAACCTATTCGATTATGTCAATCTTGAAGGTCTAATTGAAGTTCAGAGACTAAATGGTCAAAGATCTAAAAAAACTAGAAGTTTAATGACCTAAATCAAGAATTCCTAAAGTCTACGGGCTAATTAATAAACAAAAATCCTAAGGATTATCTAAATTAACCTATAAAAAGGGATTAAACTAAAAGTTTTTTTTATAGAAAATTTCAATGATTAACAAATTTTAAAAGTCAAGAAATCGACTCGAGTAATCGGGCATCTTATGTGAAAACGCGACTCGAATTGCTCCCTAATTAATAACTAGTGTGCCATCCTAATTTCTAAGTCTGATTTGAATTATTAACCTAATCTAAGAATGAAATCCTAAAGGCTAAAACAATGAAATATTAAATCAGCTAATAAACCTAATTAAATAAATAAAAAAAAAACAGAAAACACAACATAAAAAAATAAAAATAAACATAAACATAAATATCATGATCAAATTGCATGAATATCAAAATACCAAGCTAAAAAATATAAATTAGACATATGACGAGGACTAAATTAAAACAAATTAAAATTTAATGCCTAAATCTAAACAAAATAAAAATAGTTTAGGGGCTAAAATGCAATAACACGCGGAAGTTATAGGGACTAAAATATAATTATCCTTTTTATTTAAGCCTAAAATAACCTTTTAAACTAAAGTGGAAAAGTTACAAAATTAGTCCACACAAATTAAAACAAAATTTATAGGGACTAAACCAAAGTGTAAAAATACGCTAAACTTAGAGGGACTAAATAGTGAATTAAGCAAAAAATATATAACATATAAATAGTGAATTAACCAAAAAATATATAACATAAAATATAAGGGGAAAATAATAGCTTTAGTCCCTACAACTGACCAAAATATAAAAACATGCTAAAGTTAGAGGGACTAAACATTGAATAATCCAAAATTTATAAAGCATGTAAAGAAAATGGAAAATAACAGTTTTAAACCCTACAGATGACTATTTTGTAAAATACGCCTAAAGTAGCGGGACCTAGGCGTGATTTCCCCCTAAACTATGCCAATATATACCATTTTTCCTCTTTCATTTCATTTTAACCTAAGCTTAAAAAAAACCTAAATGCTCTCCCCTCTCTCTTTTCTCACCCCTCTCTTATCGCCGTCTGGCTGCCACACGCGGTGGTTGGAACACCCAAAAAGATTAAAAAAAATCATAAATCTACCAGCCTAGGCCCTTATTTAGTGCTAAAACTACAAAAAAAAACACTCCTAACCCCTCGAAAATCCCTTAAACCTTTTGATTTCCCTAAACTCCGACAACATACGACGAAGCCTCCCCGACTCAGGTAAACTCAGATCTACCTTTTTTCCCCTTTTTTACTACGAAAAAGCTTGAATATTGTTTTAAGCCGAAACTAAAAAAGATTTTATTTTTCTTTGTTTGTTGGTTATTAGAAACTAGAAGGCTCTTTTTTTATTGTAATCCGCTTTTTCAAAAACTAAAAACGTTTTGTTTTTTATTTCGAAAACTAAAAAAGGGTTTTCATTTCTCTATTGAGATTTGAAGCTAACAATAAATAAATAAAAAGTTACTTATTCGAACTTAAAAAAGGAGATTAATAATAACCCATTTACAAAGGAAAATCAAATGATAACATTTTGTTTGTTGCTGGTTGTTTCTAATGCAGTGGTGTGGAGTGTGGAGCCTGGGGGATGGTGGCATGCATGCTTCTAGCATTGGGACAGAAAACGATGGTTGTTGATTGGGGGCAGCTACCCTAGGGTTAGGTTAGGCTCGGGTCGGGTTTATTTTGGGCCTTGGGTCAGGTCTTGGTTTGGGTATTTAGGTTGAGTTTTGGTTAGGTTTTATTTGGGTTTTAGGTTGGGTTTTGGTTGGGCCTTGTTAGGTTATAGTTAGGCTTTGGTTTAGGTAGAAAAATGGTGATTACAATAGTAACAGACGTTAAAAAAATTCCATCAACCCCACAAAATGTGACATGTGGCATATTTATTTATAAATTTTATTTAAAAAATTTAAAATTATTATTATTATTCAAAAAAATTCTAAAATATAAAATAAACTCTCAAAATCCTTAATCTTAAAGCATCCATCATATTTGTTGGTCGTCTACCGTCGCTGTCGTCCCCATAAGTCGCTACCCAATCATAGCTTCAAACCCTAAAATCTTTAAACTCATATCCCTAAATTTAAACCTAAACCCCTAAATCTCAACACACATCCATCCCAATCGGTGGTTGGGTGTCAATGGGTGGTCGGCAGGTGAGTCGATGATCGTTGACAATGGTGGTGATTAGTGATGAAATTGAAAGTCTTGGGGTATTTCATGAAAAATGAAGGTTTTTTTTTGAAAATTTGTGAATTTTATTTTTTTTACTAAAAGAAATAAGAAATAAAGTCACGTGTAAAAATATTGATTGGTTGACTAATTTTTTAACGATCGTTACAACATAGAAACCTTACCATCTTTTTGCTGGTTGTGTTTTTGCAGAAATATTATGGTTCCTCTTCTCGGAATGGTGGAATATCAATTGGAATAGTTTAGTTGACCTTGAAAGTTATTTATTTTTTGTTTCAATGTTCCATTTTCTGGTGCTAGCAAGTCTCTTTGGTTAATCATGATTGAGACAACCTTTTTGAGTTTGTGATTGGTAAGGAACGAAAGAGATTTTGAAGGGAAATCTATATTAATTAAGGATGTTATCTTTTTCACAAAGCTTCTTACATTATATTGGCTTAATGTAACATCCCGAAATCGGGTCAGTGACTAAAATGAGAATTTTTGAAATTTGGGGATTAATTTAGGAAAAATTGAAAGTTTAAGAATTTTAATAGGAATATTTCATTATTGGATAAAAGGGTAAATATGAGATGATTATAAGGGTATTATGGTAATTTAGCTTGGAAGATATTTTATCTCCCTTATTTAGGGAGATAACAAGTGTGAAAGGGGAAAAAACTTCAAAAGCTTATCTTCTTTCTTTCTTCTTCTTCCTCTCGTGGCTTCAACTCCCAAAGGTAAGTTGATTTAATTTGGTTAAATTCTGGAATTTATAAGTTGGGATGGAATATTTGGGTATTATATAAGCTTAAGGTAAGCTTATGTAAGCTTAAAGCATTAAGCAGAGAAAATTTGAAAGGAAATTTGATTAAGGGTTGAGAAATGAATTCTTGATATAAAGAGGTTTTTGAAGTTTTAAAGATGGATTTGACTTGTCAATGGGTTAATTAAGAAGTTAAAGGTGATAAAATTGAATTTAGAACACATGGAAAATTTAATGAAATTCTTTGATTCAAGAATTATGGTGGATTATGGGAGATGGTAATGTGTTATAGTGTTATAAGAAGGTTTATATATGTATAGATAAGTTTTAAGGCATAAGGAGGGGTTAACAAGTAGAATTTGAGGTCAAAGTAAGAATTTTCGGGCTCAAAATGTATTTCTGGGTTGTGTGCATCGATGCATCTTCAATGTGCATCGATGCACTCTCAAGTAAATAAACATCGAGTACAGTTGGTGCATTGATGCATGAGGAGTGCATCGATGCATCCCCTTAAAATGGAAACATCAAATGTAATTTGTGTATCGATGCATGGTAGTGCATTGATGCACCTGTTAAAGAATGCATCGATGC